TGAAGGCTCGATCAAAGCGATCCCAGGTCCATGGCTTGGGCGTGTGTGGATCCTGGTCAATGCGCTTCCACCAATCATATGCTCCCTTCCGGAACATCTGTGACGCCAACTCCGAGCGATCAGCATCTGGGACTCTCAAATTCTTGAGTACCCGGTCCATCTGCTCAAGCCAATCCAATGCAATCTGGGGCTCCCCCATCTTGTCTCCTCGAAACTCTTCCGCTCCGTTATCCTTCAACGTCTTGAAGGTAACGATGCGCGGCTGCGGCTGTGGTGGTGGCGGTGGCTGGAACATAGGCATAAACTGCGCCATGTGCTGCATATAATGGGCCATCATGGCCGGGAACATCTGCTCGTAGGCCACCGACGGTATCGCCAACGGTGGCATCACTGGAGGTGGTACGACTGGCGGTGGTACAGCTGGTGGCTGTCCCGCCGGCTCAGGTTGATTCTGCTGTTGCCCTCCGTCACCCGGAGGCGTGAAACTTGAACCCTCGGTGTTCACCGTGTGCACGCTCACGTGCTCCGGCTCCGAAACGTATTGACCGTGGGTCGATTCTTGACTCATTCTAAAATAAAAAGGAAACTCCCACGTCAGATCTTAACATATAACAGATAAAGCTATAAATACTTATTACCTTCCCGGGGCAGAGGAGTTACGGGAGATGCAGATGCGGCTGAATTATTCATTGTATTTTTTTTTTTGAAAGGGTCGAAAGACCGATTTTAAAACCAAATGCTCCGATACCAAAATGTAACACCCCAACCCGCATGACCCAAACCCGTGAGAAAGCGGACCGGTGTGCCACTGAATTGGTATCCGAATTTGCAACATTTTCAAAACAATTTTAAACGAACGTTCTATCAATACATAAAAAAATCCATCGGAGTAATTTAAAATAATGCGGAAGCCTTTTTAAAGTCAAACAACTTGGGATCTTGCCCGAAAACGTAATAAGCATTAAAGTTAATTAAATAAAGCATAATCAACAGATTAAGGAGACAGCCACGCCATCGTACATCTCCTCCTCAATGCCCTCTGGGATCGGCTCTAGGTTCATCTGTCTGATCACCTACGGACAGCAAAAAGAAAAACAACGCTATCCGCTCAGCATTGACGCTGAGTGGTACTCCATTGTAGCACACAAGAATAAACATAATAATGCAACAATTGAGATCGTGCATATGTTTATCCTTTTAATAAAAATCAATTCAACTTTACATTCGATTCTTTAGACGGTTGACCAACAGTCAACTTATTTACTTTCTTTTCAAAACGATTTAGGACGCCGGCAGTGGAGGCGGCGTCCGGCAGAACGACGAGGTGAACCGTTGTCGGCGGCGCTGGGCAGCGACTGGCGGCGGACGACCGACGAAGAAAACAGCGGCGGCGACTGGCTGGGGAAAGGCGACCGGCGCTGGACTCGACGACGATGGTGGTGGTCGCCGGTAGGGGAGGCGACGGACTTCCGGCGAAGGTGAAACAACAGCTGGAAGCTCGACGACGGCGGCTGGAGGCTCGGCGAGGAGCTCTGGCTTGCGCGACGCCGGCGTGGTCGAACGGCAGAGGACGACCGGCGGCTCGCTGCTGCAATTGGTGGCGACGATGAGCGGCGGCTACTGGCGAAGGAAACAGCGGCGGCGACCGGCTGGGGAAGGGCGATGCCGGCGGCTGGCTCACGGCGGCGATGCTTGTTGGGGAAGACGAAGAAGAAATCGAAGAAGAAGAAGTAGAAGAAAGAAGAAGAAGAAGAAGAAGAAGAAGAAGGAGGACGGACGAAGAGAACAAACGAAAGAAGAAGATAAGGATTGTGTGGCTGAGGTTTAGGTTTATTTAATGGTCCCATTCCAAAAAGGATTGGGCTTCGGACCCAAAATACCTGATTAAATGGTCATAACATGAGCTCCATAACTCCGATTCGCGAGCCGTCTGAACCGACGCGATCACAAAATTATTTCCTACGAGATGACATAAAAGTTGGGCTTAGAATCCAAATTATAATTTTAACCCCTTATTGGGCCCAATTCGTAATCAATTGCTCTAACAATTTAATTAATTCTTTTGGGCCAGGTTTCGGGGCGTTACATTTCTCCCTCCCTTAAAAAGAATTTCGTCCTCGAAATTACCTGAGTCATTGGTCGTCGAAGAGATGAGGGTACTGAGTTCGCATAGATTCTTTCGTGTATAAACAAAACAGGTATTCGCCTAAAGAGGAAACACTTTATCAGATGATTCTTGGTCAGGCAATCTTCATAATTGAGTTTTTCAGTTTCGACGGAAACACATTAAATACGGAGTTACGAATATTAGTCCTTTATAGGATCAAGATTGACAAAGAATTCAATTTCTTGGAACGATGAGATATGAGGAAGTTCATATCAGAGAGGTGACATACTTTTAGTACGTTCCTTCAGTTCAGATATTTCTTATTGGGTATCGCACGAATAGAATTCACACATGAGATGTTTTCGCATATATATTCGAGATGAACATGGTCAGTTTAGAAATCAGCTTTGCTTTCACCTCTATAAGGTTACCATCATTGGTCTTCAGTTGAGGAATTCTTCATCACAAGTTGACAACAGCAACGACGTTCAGTCAGTTAATGCATACTAAGGATAATGTCGATTTTCCTTGTATGGTACTTCAACGATGTTTTACAAAGAATTGTCGCTTAACGAACGATTTCAATTCACATTAAGTAATCGCATAATGCGTCCTAATGAGTCAAATAATAGTATTAGATACTTTAGATAACAGAGTTTATTGATTCTAAACGTTCGTGTTTGAATCAGCGATT